ATATATCTAATAATTGACCAGATACCAAAAGTAAATTGAAAATTATTATCAATAATTTTAATGATTTTAAATAGTAGCAATGATTCATTATACTATCCATTTTTTTTTAAAAAATGTAAAGATTTCAACAAAAGAAAATAAACTTGCTTTTATCATATTTCCTTCAAAACGGATATTCTAAAAAAAGACTTTATTATACTGTGTGAATCTAAACTTGACAATAATAAGAAAAATTACACATGAACAAAAGAGTCCCTAGATATCATAGTAATAGTGAACAGCCATGTCCGTCCGTACACGAAAAAAGATGCAAAATATTTGCCCATTACACGAAACCCATAGTGTACAAGCACAGAGGGAAAAAATTAAAAATTCAATGTTTGTGTCACACGAGTACAGTATCAATGTGTGAGGTCATATTCCAACAGAAGTAGAAAAGTCATACTATTACTATCTTCTCTCTCTTTGAGCATAAATTAAACTTGCGTGTGTATGGGAAAATTTTTTTTTATTAAAATTGATACGCGCGATTAAAACTTTTACTACAATATAGAATTAAGCAAGTTTTATTTGACTGTTCCCATAATAAAAATAATAAAACCTATTATTTTCATTAATATAAATTTTTAAGTTGGATTTATTGCTACCGTTACTTGGAATTGTTTTTGCTCAAGATCTTTGAATAATTACCTTTTGGAATCCATAGTAAGCCGACTACCACCCAATAATTTACTTAAATGCTCATAATAATAATAGAGCAACACTTTGATTTCTGCCAAAAGTGGTTTTAAATCAGCAATTATGGAGAAAAGTATCAGATGAAACCTAATTTTTTTGAATTATATTTATTGAGCTACAAAATCAAATAATGCTAAAAGCGCACCGATGTGAAATGGTGTTTATGGACTGTGTTCTTGCGATTTTAAGTTGCTTGGAGATATCTTTTAAGCCTTTTGCTACCTTTGTGAGAACATCCTCTGTTTTTTGGCATTTTTAAATTTTAAAAATTTTTTTTTGTATATTCCACTTTTTTCATTACATCAATATATGGCAGGTTAAGGTTAAAAGTGATAAAAAATGCATGGCTATAATAGTGTTTATATATTGGGTACTATTCATAGTAACCTTGAGTTTTTCCACATAATGCGCATAGTGTGTATGTATCATAAGGAGGAAATATTATAAATGCACGCATAATAATAAGAAAGCAAATAACATATATAATTTGTTTTTAGAATAAATAAATGTCTATAAAAATCATAGCCCAAGCCTTACGCGTAACACACTATTCGCAGCACATCACTATTGGATGCACTCTCATGAAAGACCAACATGCATTTTTTGAGAAAAAAGCAATCTTCCAAGTTCATAGATATTTTTCAATTTATTGAAAGTTGGGAAAACTATCCCTCTTTCACTCCAAAGTAAATAGAATGCAGCTTGTCTACGAGTTATGATTGATGAATTTGGTCATGACTTTATGTCCTTTCCATGCTTTCCTTTAAGAGATAGAGTCTACTATCAGATGTACTATGCTAGATTACAGAGTTTATTATAGAATGTGGAAAGTTAATTCTAGTAAAAAAATTATACATACAAAATAATGGCAGTTCATAATTTTGCATAACAGATAACAAACGATAAAATGCATTTTTATCATGATTTGCACATCTTGCCAGCTTGTTAATGTCCCATTGAAAACATTTATAAAGAAAAGGCTTCGTCATATTCTGTTTTCTATCTCTAACATCTTTTAAAAATGTGTTATACGAAGATTGAGGCCGAACTTCAAAATGTTCACATTATCTACATTACTAGCTCATTCAGCAAGGAAAAATACATCAGAAAGTGAATATTTCATTTGATACTGTTGAACATGATCTCGAAAATCCTAAAGAAATAAGTACTCTTGAGCATAAGCTGTCTGATCAATGGTTTTATATACTTTCTTCAAAAATAACCAGGTTTCTTTTATTTATAATTGGCAAAGTTCTAGAAAATGTGGAAGCGTGTATTTTATATTCTTAATCTTCTGAACTTAAGTTACAAGTTGATATGATTTTGTATAATTATTATGTACATTGCTGCATTAGAATAATTATTAAAAAATTCTGTGTCAAAATTTAAGTCAAAAAATTGGCAATAGTATTTTACAAACTTTCAAAAGAATTTATATTCATTTTGTAATTGTTGAGATATACAACCTTTTGTCACCGTCATTATTATCGTTGCATACTGTAAATCAAATTGTACTATATAGCGCGTAATAATTCCACTTCTTAAACACAAATATGATATACATATATTGTATTATGATTTTTTCTACGGTACCCATAATAACTGTTTCTACCTAACACCAATAAAACAGTTGCTTCTTTAACTTTGGAAAATGGTTCTGATCTAGATTTTTTAAGCACAGTTTGAAATCAATTCTAGAGCCCTTTGTCGACCAATTCATATATGTTACCAATTATAATGATTGAAATGACACTCTTTCATAATATATTGAAAATCCGTTAATTTTCTAAGTGCTTCCTTTATTATTATTGACCATTTATGCAAGACATTATTACAACCAAATTATTAATAAGGAAAGTTAAATTTAAATAAATTTATTTCTTAATAGTAACTCTATTATAGCTTCGATAATTTTGGAAAGGAATAAATCGTGAAATTTATTTATATACTGTATGAATTCCCGTCACAATTTATTTTATATTTCAATGATAAAATCCATTTGCGATGACAAAAGAACGTTAATTAAATTAAAATGTATAAAGAACTCCGACATAAATGTCCGACAATTTATTTGTTTAATATGGAAAAAAACTCATGTTAATCGCCTCAATGAAAATGGAACTTGACAAAGGTGTTACTCGGCCTGTAAAGAATTTTCTTGAAAAAATCAATTAACTCGCATAAATAAGTTATAAATCAGTCCACAGAGATTTTTTGAAGAGAGTAGAGAGTTGAACTTATTAAAATGTGATGTATGACCTATCAATGAATTCAAATAATGGGGTCCAAGACAAATTTATATGGTATTTGCGGATTGGGTTGGATTACAATGTTCGCAAGGAGTAAGAGACCAAAAAAATAATTGCTAAAAACGTCTGTTAAAAGCAAAATTAGGATAACAATAATGCAAAATAAAGGTCATTTCTTTAATAAGCTGTGCCTAAAATTTGCAAGGAAATAAAATAAGTCTCAAAGGATGTATGAGCGAAATGTCAGGCCTCTTGTCAAAGTGACAAAATAAGAAATTTCTTTCGGTTTTAATGGTAACAGTAATAGCAAAACCAGAAATGTACTTTGTTGCACCAGTGACTTCATTGCTGGTGTAATTTAGATATCGCAACTTGTCAAACATTTAAACCATATATTTTGTGGCCTTTGGCAAAATGTTTATCAAAAATGATTGTTATCTTTAAATTGAGGGGAATGTTGTGAATATACGAATACTGTACGTATAATATATTTCCAGAATTTTATATACAGTCAAACTTTGTTTCAACGAATCTATGGAAATGAATTGCATATTAATACCTGATATACACCAAAATTATTAATCGCGCTTTATAACTTTTTAAAAATTCGTTGGAACAAGATTCGTTGAACGAGGTTTAACTGTATTTGGAATGCAATAACATTTTATTATAAATGTTAACGAATCTATTATTATTATACATTCACTAAGAACACTCTCATCACTCATCATGTCTGTCAACTTCTGGTGCATATTTTTTGACTGGTTCATCCAATAGATAATATATTGTGTAAAGATAATTAACTATTCTTAAAACTGCATCTCCTGTAATTATTTAAAAGTTATTGTAAAGTTGTGTGCACAGCTTTACAATTAACAAGATAGTTGTGGTTTGGTCTAAAAAAACATAAATTCAATTTCATAACAATTATTATTATTATATTATATATATATGTAACAATCTTGTTTTTTAAATTTTCCGCTATTAAAGCAAACTAACACTAACATGTTTATTATTATTTATTATCTCCATATCCATGCAATCGTCTTTGCAAATATTTTATAATATTCAAAATAATCTAAACTTTTTTTATATTAATGACATGCAAACATGTCGATTGCGTAATATTAATATTTTTCAGATATTACGAATATTCGTAATATTCGTGCTTGTGATACTAATACTTAAAAATGGGTTTCTTTTGAATAGTGCATCCAGTTAATAATAACACTAATAATAATACCATATTATTAATTGACAATGAAGAGACAAATTCATCCAAGTAGCGGAACATTGTAAAAAATTTAAAAATGGGAGACCTAAAGATAGTTTTATGAAGATGTAACATATCGGATTTGTAGTCTGGAGTATTTGAAAGCATTACGATCATTACGAATGCTTGAAAACATTACTATTCCAAATACGAACACTCGGAAATCTTCCTAGATCATCAATTGGTAAGATTTATATTACACAATTGACCCCATTTGGAATCTTTAAATAAAGAAGACTGGTTAAGACTGGTACCAAATTTTGGAACGTACTGAGGAAGATCAGCCTAAACTGGTTAAATAGAGACCCTTAAATTTTCTTATTGTATCCTTCTTATTGTTTATTGTTACGCCAATCATCACCTTTTATTTATAATATTTGTCTGTGACGTATAATATTATTTATTCTGGTATGTGAGAGATAACAGTAAAGATTTCAACCAATTTTATTTATATATTTTTTTCTTATCACTTTTCTTTTCTCGAAAAATATATTCACATTTACTATTACTATTATATATATTACTATTACTTTTTATCAACAAAAAATGTCACAAGCTCAAAAAATAAATTCTACAACAGTGCAACGTCGTGGAAATGACACCCAACAATCACAAGTTGGAGGAGGAGAAACAGAAGTAGGTACTGAAATATCACCAAACAAACTTCCTAATATTTCGTCAATTGGTGGTAGTAGTAATAATAATAATAATAATAATAATAATAATAATAATAATAATAATAATAATTATGAAATAGACGTTAGAAGCATTAATAACCCTGAAAACAACGATAACAACGATAAATCATACAGTTTTATAAAAGCAATTCGAAAGCACTTGTCTGATTTGAATCCTTCATTAGTTTTAGAAAATAGAGCCAGTGTTGCAAGAGATCATTTAGGTAAGTGTTATTTAAGGAAAATATTTATTTACATTATAATTTATAATAATATTAACTTTTAATTGAATTTAATTTAATATAAGCTAACGAAAGAACCTTTCTTGCATGGCTTCGTACGTCCCTTTCCTTCATCAGCATAGGGATTGGTATGTATAGAAAACCAATATATTTTATTTATAATAAATATTAATAAAATTAATTTATATAATTAACAATTTATAATAACAATAATTTAATAATAATAATAATAATAATATGTATAGCCATCACGCAATTATTTAGGCTGAATCTGAATGGGAAGAAATCTGATGATAAAGTTGGCAAACCATTAGGACTAACATTTGTGGTCCTAGGGATCATATTTCTCGTTATGGGTATTATAAGATATTTTCATTCCCAATGCCTTATGACACAAGGCAATTTTCCTGCCAGCAGAGGAAGCATCATATTTGTAACGGTCGTGACCGTTGTGTCACTGGCCGCCTGTCTAGTAGTCATATTGACTATGGAACTAGATAAATAATTTATTTTCAACTTTTTTTTTTTTAAAAAAAATTTAATTAGTAGTAAATAGGATACTTATTTTTTTATTTATTTTCATATAAAAATTAGCATCGGAGGGTTTTTATTTAATGTAACATTAATAAATTGTGGCTATAAAAATCTAAGTCATTTAACTAATTTATTATTTTTGACATATCATTAAAATTCATTTATTATAAAAATAAAAACAATTGGGTAATAGAAATCAATCGTAGACGTAAGATGCTTCAAATGAAAATAGGCATCATAACAATAATGACAATATTTTAATTGACACAATGAAACAATTGAACGATGATGAATCGTTAGTAAGTGATTGGATAAATTTTTAGAGAACAATGAATTGAGTGAACTATTATGAAAATTACTTAATTGGGAAGAACAACTGGTCTGGTCGAAAGACAGATATTTCACAAAAATGTTGCATCAACAAAGGAATTGTGATTTATATCAATTGAATTTTCACTGAGTGACGATCTCAAATTCGACATGAATTATCGTTACTATATTCATGAATTTATCAAATCTTATTATTATTGATATATTCTATTATCGAGAAGTAATTAGAACTTTGAAGGGAAACGAATTATCAAGTTTCAAGTTTCATCTTTCCACCTTCGACTCTACTTTTAAAAATTGGTTGATATTATTAATAAATAATGAATTTAGTAGCTTTTTAATTTTTATTTTGCGGATTTAATTACTACAATAACTAATAATCAAAAAGATTACAATAATAAATAAAAAATAATATATAGGAATAATAATAACAGCATTATTATTAATATGCCATTAAAATATAAATATTTCGTTGATTAGTTTTGAAATTTAATTTTTCTAGAATCATCATCTTCAATCTTTTCAGCAACAACATTCTTGTCAACATCATCAATCTTTTTACTGTTTTCAACAATAACATTCTTGTCTACATCATCAATCTTTTTACTGTTTTCAACAATAACATTCTTGTCTACATCATCAATCTTTTTATCGTTTTCAACATTGACATTATTGTCGACATCATCAATATCTCCATCTTCAATATTTGTATGTTCTATTTTATTGTAATCAACTTTGTTATTGTCATCATCAATTGAAACTTTTACTTCTTCAATCTCCATATCATCTTTGTTATTGTCATTTGATTTATTATTAAAGTCATCATTTCCTCTATTATTATTATTGTTATCAATATCAGCATCAACATTAGAATTATTATCAACGATATCGTTAATATTATCATTAACATTATTGTCAATATCGCCGTTAGCTGTAACATCTCCATTATCAACAACCTTTGTTGTTGTTATGACAACTTGGTTATCAACAATATTTCCTTTTTCATCCTTCTCTGCTATATCGTTTGTATCTTGTTCAGCTGTTGTATTATTGTTATTATTGCCGTTATTGTCGTTATTGTCATTGGTATTGCTATCATTAGTATTGTTATTGGTATTATCATCATCATTGCTATTATTGTCATTATAATTGGTATTATTATTATTGTTATTATCATTGGTACCATTATTATCAATATTGTTATCAATACTGTTATCGGTATCTTTTCCATCAATCTCCATTTCATTATTTTCAAGCTTTATTGTAGCCTTTTTTTCTTTTATTTCGCCCTTCTCTTTATTATCATCATTCTCACCTTCAACTTCCATTTTATTATCATCAATTGAATTATTTTTTTGTTCTAGATTTTCCTTATCCTCTTCCTTCTCTTCTTCATTTCCTTTATTTTCCGCCTTTGCTTCCTGTTGAAGTTTTTGTTTATGAAGTGAGTCTTTTAAATATTCAAAGATTGGCTCAATTGCCGTTCCAGATGTATACTCGTGTTTTCGATGTCCTAATGATTAAAAAGTTATTTATTATTTCTTCTTGCTCCTCGTTTGAATATCTATCTATCTATCTGTTCAAAAAAAGAATATTATTTCTCACAAAAAAAAAAACAATGATAATTTACCAGCTGAACGACATTCACAGCCAAATACTTGATTCGCATTATTATTGACAGGCTCATTAGTTGGCGATGACGATTTTATCCAATTGATTGTGTGGTTTTTAAACCATTTTTTAGAAGAACCTGGTATCATACCATAGCTATGTACACTATCAGTTAAAGCAATTGCACACACACGACCTTTAAAATCTTTGCCTTATTATATAAAAAACAAACAAACAAACATACAAGTGTTATTAGTTAAACTCGTTAAAATATTGTATTAATAAATTGAGTTTAATAATTTAATTAATTACAATCATCTAACATTGCATTGACACTTATTCCACCATAACTATGTCCTACTATTAAAATATGTTTTGCAGTCATATTTCTAATTTATTGAAAAAGTAATTAATAAATTAACGCTATTATAAATAATAATGATATCATAATAAATCTTACTATCATTATAAATATTACCTCACAATATTTTCCCAAACATATATACAATGACTCTGGTGACTTTCAGACCCAGGTATTTTACCAAATTTTCTTTCCTAATTATTTATAAAATATTTCATTATGCTTGACTTATTCAATTTTTGCATATAAATTAATTGATTGATCTCTTGACATCGTACTATCTAATTATAAACATACATCACCGTCTTTATAACTTCCGAAATGTTCGTTTGGATTAAAAATTATAATTCCCCAATTTAATTGTTTTGCCCTTTCAATGTATGGAAACATTGAGCCAAGCTTATATAAAAATCATTAAATTTATATCAATATTATATGAAATGATAGATGATTGACAGATAATAGATAATTAAATAATTGAAATAATGATATACTTGAAGTGAATCATTTATGATAACTAAATTGTTATTAATATTACAATTTGTTAGAATGTGTATATATAATATATATATATATGATTAACTAATTGATTTATCCATGAATTGTATAGTAACCTTTTCGTGACCATTGACCAGATCTTACGACTCCGCCACCTTGAATCAAGAATAATAAAATCTGACAATCTGCAACATTTTCACTATTAAAATATGAAGAAATGAGGAGAAAGGCGAAGATCCCATAAATATGCAATAAATATATGCAAAATGTACCTCAAGTAAATTCTACTTTTTGGAATAGTTTCATCTTCAATTGCTTCAATTGGGATTATTTGTTTCTTAAATTGATATTTTTTTACCAATTCTTCTTCAATGTATTCACCAATTATTTCTTATTTAAAAACACAACACAAATAATAATAATGTAACAAATCAGCGATAATTATCAATTAATTTGATAATTGATAATTAATTAACAGAGGGTATTTTACCTCCTAAAGCTTCATAATGACATTGATTATAATATTGATTTCCAGGAGTAACTTCGAATTCAAATCTTTCGTCTTTTTTAAAAAACCAACATTATTAAAAATAAAGCGTGTTTTTATTTTAACAATCATTTATTATCATTTATTATCACTATTATTAACATCGCTATTATAATATAATCACTTGTTTTAATGTGTCTTAATTCGCCATTTTCATCAAATCTATAACCAAATCCTTCGACGTCTGTAGGAAATGTTAGAGTTTCATGATTCGAAGTTACAGAAGAAAGCATTTTATATAATATTTTTGAAAATAATGTTTTCATCAAACAATTAAAAATAGCAAAAAGCAAAAGTAATTGATCATAAAAAATACCAATACTAATACTTTTTTTGAATTAGACAAAGTTACACGATTCAAAATGAAAATTAGCAATTGGTGATTTTCATTTGAACTTTAAAATTAAAAATTCTTCGAAAATCTACACAGTGAGTCTCAGTATAATGAATATTTAACTAGTACAAATTTAAAAAACTTTCTGCAATAATATCCAATCAAATTCAATTTTTTTGCGGCTAGTTTCTAAATTTGTACTAGTTAAATATTCTTTATACCGAGACTCACCATGTAACAATATTATCGACTCCAATAAAGATGCCTTAAGCATATTAGTAAAACTTGTAAATGGTTTTGCAAATTTGTTAAACGAATCTGATTTTTATGATGTGTAAATTAAAAGTTGGAACAAATCGAGATATTAGAACCTTCAAAGCTCATTCTGCAATTTTGAAAGTAAGGCCCTCATATTTTATCAAAAATCGGATTAAAAAAACTAATGATGATGACATTATTTTTATTTGAAAATGATAATATTTCTCCAAAAATATCTAAAGTTCTTTTACGTAATATATTATTTATTTATTCAGTCATATAGATAATAATAATATTTTCTTTTAAATAATATATATATATATCTAAAAGATATATTTACAATGTAATTATTAATGTGGATAGATTGAATTGATTGATAATTTACATGATCTTTTAATCACAGAAGAAAAAGAATGGATTCAACTAATTTAATTCATGCTTAGAGCTCCGAAACGGGTCGGGTCGACCCGAGTCAACCCGCGGGTTGACCCGAACGAGTCGGGTCGGGTCATGATTTAATTGACCCGGGTTTGACCCGGGTCAACATCATGTTATAATTGCCTTTAAAAGTTC